ACACATTAAATAAGATTAATCGTCGTTCACTATGTGATTCAAAAAGTAGATGTGATAGAATACCTGGTTAAGCTATAAAATAATTAACGGATCGACGATATAATCTTCCAGAGAAAATTTTTAAATATTGTACGACAAAACGTCATTATACAAATGTTTGTGTTTGTTTCATTTATTTTATTTAATCACATTCATTCCTTCCATAAAGCTTACGAGACTGTTAATTTGGATGCTTGCTTACGATCGTAAATGATCACGTAGGCGTGCGAACTGAAATGAAGCTCTCCGTTAGGTAGGAGTTTAAATATATTAAATAACTTGAAACAACACATTAAAACACATTAAATAAGACTAATCGTCGTTCACAAATGTGATTCAAAAAGTGGATGTGCTGGTTAAGCTATAAAATAATTAATGAATCACCGATATAATCTTCCAGAAAAAATTTTTAAATATTGTACAACAAAATGTAATTATACAAATGTATAAGAACTTTGTGTTAGTTTCATTCATTCCTTCCTTAAAGTTTAGGAGACTATTAATCTAGGTGCTCGCTTACGATCGTAAATGATCACGTGTGAACTAAAATGAAGCTCTCCGTTAAGTAGGCGTTTAAATATCGGTATAAAGGCAAATGTTTCATGTTCTCCTGTACCGTTTCAGTTAACCTCGCGTTCTCTCTATCTCCCCCGTCTCGTCTAAATTTTTCATCGCGAAATGTCTGCTAACGTCGAATCTAACGCCGATGTAGGTGATGCGCAGAAGACAGCCGCTTCCAAAAAATCTGCCGCCGGTGGCAAGAAAAAGTCAGCGGCCGCCGCAAGTACAAAAAAAGTCGTAGAACATCCGTCCTACAACGAAATGGTTCGCCAGGCTCTCGTCGCTCTCAAAGAACGCGGCGGATCGTCCAGGCAGGCCATACTCAAGTACCTCATGGCAAACTTCAAGGTCGGAAGCGACGAACACTCCGTCAACACCCACCTCAAAGTAGCCCTGAGGAATGGCGTCAAGTCGGAAACGCTAAAGCAGTCGAAAGGATCTGGAGCCTCAGGCAGTTTCCGCCTCGGTGCCGCCAAAGATACCAACAAAACTGTCGCCAAGCCGAAAAAAGACGTTGTCGCCATAAAAACCAAAGCGGCTGCCTCGCCAAAAAAAGTTACAAAAGTGGCGGAAGCGACAAACAAACGTCAAAAGTCTGTTGCAAAAAAGGCGGCTCCGGCTAAAAAGGCAACGGCATCTAGCAGCACAAAGAAGCCAGTCGAAAAGACTTCCAGTGTCAAGAAAGCCGTAAAGAAACCGCCTGCGGCCGCCAAAAAGATCGCTTCTCCAAAGAAACCGGCTAAAATAGTTAAAAAACAGCAGGCCAAGGAATCTAGAAAACCAAAATCGGCCACCACCAAAAAACAGGCAAAGCCCACCGCCGCGGCCAACAAAAAGAAGACTAGCGGCAGCAAGAAAACTTCAGTTTGATGACGAGAACAAATTTAAAAAAATTAACAAACGGCTCTTCTCAGAGCCATCAATGAAACGATGATATCGAGCCTCTCTTTCTTCAAAGCTCTCTTGTTTTTTATTATTACTCCGTTGTCTTTTTTTATTCACGTTCCGCTCGTTTACCTAAAAATGGGGAGCATAAGAGAGTAAATTTGTAAAATATGTAATTTCATACGCACGGTTTACGCGGTTAGCATGAGAAACTGATTATGAAAAATTTCATTTTTGTCAGGAAAGTATGTAGACTGAAGAGAACTGTTGCAACATTTCTGCCTAAGCTATTAGGCTTTTATGCGATTGCTATTTTTTCACTAAAATCAAATTTTCTGGTGCAAAATGCAAATTGTAATAATTAATAATACTTTGTCGATAACCGGCTACAATAGTTAAAAAATCTAAAGGCCAAGGAATCTAAAAAACCGAAATGGGCTACCACCAAAAAACAGGCAAAGCCCACCGCCGCGGCAACAAGAAAACTTAAACAAATTTTAAAAAAATTAACAAACGGCTCTATCAATGAAACGATGATATCGAGCCTCTCTTTCTTCAAAGCTGTCTTGTTTTTTTATTATTACTTTGTTGTATTTTTTACGTTCCGGTCGTTTACTCAGAAATGGGGACCATAACTGAATAAATTTGTAAAATATGTAATTTCATACGTACGGTTAGCATGAGAAACTGATTATGAAAAAGTTTCATTTTTGCCAGGAAAGTATGTAGATTAAAGAGATCTGTAGCAACATTTCTGCCTAAGCTATTTCATTTGTAAATTGATAAATACCATCCACATGTTTAATTATAAATACAGCTAATTGATTGTTTTTACTCCGTTGTATTTTTCGTTCCCGTCGTTTACGCAAAACCTGAACGTCTGACCTTTAATTGAATAAATTTGTAAAATATGTAATTTCATACATACGGTTTATTACACGATTAGCACGATTTCACTTTTGTCAGGAATGTATGTAGGTTAAATTATTCGTAAAGCAACATTTAATTTGGAAATTGATAATTAATTACCATCCAAAAGTTTAATTATAAAAACAGCTAATCAAGGTGCTAAATTAGAGAAATGTAATGACGTCAAAAAATTTCCAGTAATTGCAAATTAATTAAAATAGTTTAGAAACTCACAATATCACGTTAGCATTGTTTGCAGCACGTTTACACGATTGGACTAAAACCACGTGACCGAAGCGCTTTCTATTAGGTCGGCTCACCTCGTGTCTATATAAAATGTTGCCTACTGCGTGCTTCCAGTATTCTAACTAGATTATCGATTCCTACTCGTTGCTTTTACGTTCAAACAAGTTGCAGACAGTATGGCAAGAACCAAGCAGACGGCTCGCAAGTCAACCGGTGGCAAGGCACCTCGCAAGCAGCTGGCCACGAAGGCTGCCAGAAAAAGCGCTCCGGCTACCGGAGGTGTCAAAAAACCTCATCGTTACAGGCCTGGTACAGTAGCTCTCAGAGAAATCAGGCGCTACCAGAAAAGCACCGAGCTGCTCATCAGAAAACTGCCCTTTCAAAGACTCGTTCGTGAGATAGCTCAGGATTTCAAGACCGACCTTCGCTTCCAGAGCTCGGCAGTCATGGCTCTGCAGGAAGCAAGCGAAGCTTACCTGGTCGGCCTCTTCGAAGACACCAACCTCTGCGCCATTCACGCCAAACGCGTCACCATCATGCCCAAGGACAAGGTGTTGGTTATGCGTGTAGGCAGTGTCGAGTGAGTTATTAAAAACTGACGCAATATCAATAAGGTCAAGCCTCCTTCGGTTAATCAGTGTGGACCGACGATTAGAAAGCTAACACAGGAGCGTCTGTTTGATTGCATTAGCTTTATTATGATAGCGAAGTGATGAAGCAATTTTTTACTAAATAACGTGCACAAATCTATCTACACGGCGTCTATTTGATTGCATTATTTATTTAATCTTACTATAATTATCCCCATCATTTCATGTCTACGATGGTGTTCTTGTTTCCTAGCGTATGGTTGGAAGACTACAATAGGGCTATTCTAGACTGAAATTTCATGGCTTCTCCTTATGGTGCACATTTTTTAGAAATTGAATAAAATACTTGGTTACAAACGGGCGTTCAATATACCCTAATATTGAAAGTACCTCGAACACACGTTTAGTAGGACCGATTCTTTTAAAACTTCAATTCCTTTTCCTAATGATTCCGCCGTTCGAGCATATTTTTGAGATTATAGTTATTAGATTCATGAATTTGACATATATAGTATAATAATACATAATAGGCGCCTTGAAATCATTTGCTCATTCATATCCAATGTTCATGCACAGAAACATACGTGGAAAGACATTAAGCCGCAGTTTTGACAGCGACCGATTCAGAACCTTTTGCACAGCTATTAAAAACTGTAAGACAGCGCCAAATCATTTATTTAAATTTTTAAAAGTGAAGTGTCAATTCAGTGTTCACCTGTCCTATTATAATACAATGATGATACTTTTAATTTGAATAAAATTGTCTCACTTCAAATGATGGAAAGTTTGTTAAAAAAATTTTTTTGCAAATTTGAAAACGTAGAAGTGAACCGTTTTGTGGAAGAACTTTTGGGGCTAGGCGCCATCACTGTTAAAGATGCTGTGTGTACTTAGTACTGTACTATTTGCTGGTTGATTCTGATTCTGATTGATATCGAATTGAATAAAATGGTTCTTAATTTTAATGTATTATTTTTATTTTATAATGGATTCTTTTGAATTGAGAATGGAATTTGTTATTTTAATTTTAGCAAAAAAAGGTTAATGGGACCACGTCTTAATTTAGTATTACAGCATATATATATATATATATATATATATATATAAAATTATACACCATATATATATATGTAATTATAAAAATATAACATTATTTAATTACTAATAATAACTTATTAGGGTCAGAGTGTTGTGTATATAACAGACTTGATATATATAATGTAGAATTTACAAAGCCTTTGTCATTTATTGATCTTTATTCACATTAAGACATAATCAGATGGAGCAAAAAATAAACTGTTAAAAATGTTCATGTATATATAATTGGCTGAGATGGTCTACTAAGCTAACCCTTGTGATCACATTTTTATAATGCATAGCAATTGTGAGTAATGTAAAGAGCATTGTCTATGAAAATGTTATATGAACTGTTGTCAATTCATTCACATTTAAAACTTTTTTCACATTCAAAATTTCAGGAAAATATTTTAAAAAATAGGAAATGTTGGGCTACAGAGGCCTACTTAATTATTGAAAGAAAATGTGAACTTGGAGATATTTTAAATGCTTTACAACAATCCGGATTGGCAGGATTACAATTAGCCAATGATATCCATGTAGAATACAAAAGAAATTCTCATTTATACAAAGATCTGCACATATCTGATGAATTTCAGATAAAAAATTGTTAGTTATTTAATGTTTGTATAAATATCAACTGGTAATTAAATTAAATTTCATGAAAAAATGCCACAATCATTCCATACAAATTTTTGTTGTGTTGTATTTTAATGTTGTATGAATTTAGTACAAATTTGTAATTTTGAAAAATTAGAATAAACAAGAGTTTCATTATTTAAGGTACTTCAACCTCAGAAGAAATTACTGCTGATGGAAGACGCTGTCAAACTGTAAATATTAATATATTACTGGAGGGAGACAACAATTTTCTGTCCTTGAAAAGATTTAACAGCGCCATGCAGCTACAGCACACAAACAGTGGCAGCAGGGAAGGTAATTCGAATGTTAATGAAAAAATAAACAAAAATGTGATTAGCATCCTCCATGTAATTTTTAGACTCAAGTCTTAGAGAAGATTACAAAGTTGTCACTGATGAAAATGGGATGGTAGTTGGGACAGACCAGGAAAATTCACCTCAATCTTTAACTCATGCATTCAACAAACAAATTTTTTAGATCAGATGAAGATAAAATATAAATGAACAGAAATAATTTTTTTCAATGTAACAATTTTTCAAATATGTAAATTTATATTTTTTTGCATTTGTACATACAGAGATTTTTTTGAATTGTGTTATATTTATATGCTAAAAAATGGTGAGAGTTTAGAATAAAAGTGTAAATTTTTTTTCCCTTCCGCTTCCGCCACGGTCGTCGTCACTCCGACGATTGTCAATTCGCTAGGTCGGTGGTCAGTGCGGTAACGATCGAACACGCCAACGGCCGCTGGACAACGCACACTTTCATCTTGGTCAGAAATCGTCTCTCATAGTAAATAATCTGCCCTAATACCCGAGCAAAAAGAGATGTTCCACCCTTCTTGTCGGACGTGTGAACCGGCCTTTCGTACCTGGCAGGTCGTCCTTCTAGCATACACTCATTTTTATTATCAATAAAACACGCTACTATAAATTATTTATATTATATTACTATTATTAATATAGCCAGTAGTCAGGTATATGGTTGATTAACCCGGAATGAATTTTGTACAGTCATTAAACACTATGAGTCAATAATATAATGTATATAGATTATTTCCTGAGAATGTTATCAAATCTGCCCTGGAGAAAATAAATTTTGGTTAGGGCCTACTTGAAAATATACCCAGTTCTTTGCCAAAAACATGTTTTCAACTTAAATTAGATTTTCAGTATAATAACGAAACAACATGCAAAATACATAGATTGCATGCAAATTTTATTTGTTTGAAACACAAATGCAAAAAAGTAAATTAAACAAGTTTAGCAATCTTGGACAGTATCAAAAAAATGTATATCCGGGTAACACTCTTGATTTCTTCTTCGCTTCGTACAAACAAGGCGTGAAATATTCCAACTCATCTTCAAGAATAAAATCGCCAGTGTCTTCATATTAAACGATTTCATCCACTATGCCATCATTTATGTCATACTTCTCATTATGGGTTTCCGAATGAATGGGCATTTCATTTTTATAAAAAGCTCCATGACAGAATTTATATACTGCAACAAACTCCAGAGCCAGACCATGTTTACGACATGAGCTAAATATTGTACCGCATGGCTTTTGACATGTTACGTGACATTTACAACGATCAATTTTGAGTATATCATCTAGTATATCATGCAGTTTCTACAGTAATGTATTGATTGTCATTGTCAACAAGTTTCCATTCCTATTTCTTTATAACTACAATAGCTGCTTGTTGCGGTTGCGTTTGATGATGAGAACACTGAACCAGAAGATCAGTGAGCGGGAAAAGAAAAGAATTGTATTCGTTTGGATAGGCTGCACACGTGCTTCGTCCCTACCGGGGACTCATCAGCAGCCCGAATACCTATCAGAATAGTTATCGCAGTTTCTTATAAAGCCCGCACAAATCAACTCCTTATTTCGTGGTGTTTTATTTATTAGTCTTTTTAATCGCTAGGATTTTCAATCCGACATGCTAAATTTGTAACTAGTTTATTTCGGATGCTGCAAATGCTATGACTTGAGTAAGTGTGCAGACGTTGTGGGTGGTAATTGTTTTGGTAACACCAAAGGGTTTGATAAAGATGCAAGATGATAACAATGTGTGGTATAACGCATTTGAACAGAACAGCTAATAATAACTGCCATCGTTTATTATTCTGTTGAACATCGCGGAAATAGCGCTTTATAAACTAATCGATTGATTGATTGATTGCTTGATTGATTGATTGGATTGATTGATTTGATTGATTGATGATGATTGATTGATGATGATTGATTGATGATGATTGATTAGTTGGTTGGTTGGTTGGTTGATTGATGATGATTGATTGATTGATGATGATTGATTGATTGACTGATTGGTTGGTTGATTGGTTGGTTGGTTGATTGATTGATTCGTTCTCCATTACACAGGTCATAGACACCTTAAATTAAAGACTAACGGCGCTCGCGCTCGGTATTTTAAACCTTGGTCCATAACAAATCATAGCTAAACTTAGGTTCATTGTTTTAAAACAACTGAAATTTAAACTTTAATATCACAATCAATCGGTTCCGTGATAAAAGAGTTCAAAATAAAACAGAAGAGGATAAAACAGAACAGGTTATAACAGAATAGAGATCAAACAGCTTTTTTGCTCACCGTTACAATGAAATAAATAAAAGTGAAGAAGAATAAATAAATTGAAAAATCAATGTTCCGTTTTATTGCTGTTCTGTTTTATCTTTGTTTTCTTCTGTCTGATCTGTTCATGTCATGGCGTGTGCCCCAGATCGAGTATTTTTTATTTTATTATTATTCTTCAAAAAATCAGGATCTGACAGACGCAGAAACTGTTAAAGCATGCAAGGCAGTAGTATAAAATGGTAACGAAAAAAATGAATGAATAAATAAATGAATAAAAAACGGTGAAAAAAAAGTTTAAACATAAAAAGTATTGAAAATAAAAGAAAGTAACTAATGGTATGAGAAGGCAAATAAATAAAGTAATTAGTTAATGGGCTAGATAATGACTTAAGCAAGTTAGTGAGGTGATCGATAATTAAAAACTAGATTTTGTGAATGATAAAGTTTTATTGAGTGCAAATATGTTTGAGGTGTCTTGTGATGAAGGTCTTTTCCTTATAGGCTGACTGAGAGGCGACTTGATAGTTACGCTTGCGCTGACGAAGGTTGCGTGTAGTAGTTTTGATTGGTGGTAGTAGAGGATGGATGACGTGGTTGTTGTTATTTTCTACTTTCTTCAACAGCCTTGAATCGAGTCTGTCGAATATCTGAGTTACAGTAGGATATGATGCAGGTAGATAGTTGAAGCGGATTAGTTTTTTGATGAGAGATTGTAGTTGCGGAAGTTGTTGTTGTGTAACAAAACCAGTCCAGGAGGGAGCTGCATATTTGGTGCGTGAGATTATGAGTGATTTAGTGATGTCGAATAATTTGATGCCTCTGAAACCATGTGAGAGGAGTGTTTTAAGTGCGTGAAATGTTTGAAAGCCTTTTGTGATAATGTGATTGATATGAGGTGTGGAGATGAATGTGATGTCTAATATTTTTAATTGACTTGTGCGAGTGATTGATGGGTGTTCTGGAGGTAATATTATTTTCTTACTGCTATTGATGAGTTTGAATGATTTATTGAGGTTAAGTGACAGATTGCATCATTTTGACCATGTAATTAATGAGTCAATTTCTTATTGGATGGTGTTTGAGTTAGATGATGGGATGATAAGGTAGGTGTCGTCAGCGTATTTGATGATGTGATTAGAGCTATGAAAAGTTTTGAGAGTAGAAGCATTGATGATAAAGGTAGATGGTCCAAGGACAGAACCTTGAACTACGCTAGAATTAATAGGTAGAGTAGATGACAGAGTAGAGCTAAAAAAAGTAGAATGACTCCCTATTAAAAAGAAAATTTATTATAATATTGTAAATGTTGTCAGGTAGAGGAAAAAAGGCTAACTTTTTTGAAAGTGAGAAGTGATTGAGAGTGCAAAAGCTTAAGAAAAGTTGAGAGCGATAAGATGAACATAATTATTATTTTTTAAGGAAATATGTTATTGTAGAAGTAAGAGAGATGATGGCGGATGTAGATGAACCTGTTGGGCCAAATGCAAACTGATCTTGTAATAGTGGTTTGATGGATGGATGGTTGAAACATGGATGACCTAACAATGAATATTTCTAGAATACGTGAAAGTATGGGAGTGATAGATATTGGGCGATAATCTATTGGTGATGATGGGTATTTTGTTTTAGAAATTGGATGGATTGTGCTGGATTTCCATTGTGATAGAATGAATGAATAGATTAAGCAGTGATTGTAGAGTGAACTTAAGGTGCTGGAGATGAATGGAGCGATGATTTGTAGAAACCATGCTGGGACCTGTACCGGATGGACAGGCTTTCGTTAGCATGTGCAGGACGGAGTATGGGGTAAATTGTTGATGTTGATGACTATTGATTGTTGTTGCTTTTGTTGGTGGAGTCTTGTAGGACGGGTCGGTTGACATGAAAGCAAAGTGGGTGTTGAGTGTGTTGGCATCAATTTGCTGTGAAGTTGACGTGTTGAATGATTTGTCAGAGCCTCTGATTTTGTTGACTTGGTCCCACATGGCTTTGTTTCCATGCTTACTGTTAGTGAATATTTTTGAGTTGAAGTTGATGATGAGTTTGTTGATGTATTTGGTGATCGCTGCGTCTTTGAGGATGGATCTTAATCTCATGAATTTATTTTTTTCGAGAAGTAGATATTTGATGAATGGGCTAATAATTAGAGGATCTGATGATCTGATCGTGAGTTAGATGATGGGATGATAAGGTAGGTGTCGTCAACGTATTTGATTAGAGCTATCTGCATTTGCATTAAGTTTCGGGATAATCTGCCACTACGGTCGACCTCGCTTTACTACTCGCATCATTCCTGTTGCTAAACTCAATGCAAAACAACTTCATTGTTATTTGTTGGAAGCTGTTGAATCAGTTGTGAAAAGCAGTGGATACATTATATCAATAGTGTGCGACAATTGTCTAATGAACCAACCACCGTACAACAACCTTGGCGGTCCAGAACCGGTGAATCTTCCAGGCCATGTCACTTAAGTATTCCTTGTATATTACTATGTGCGCGTTTTCAAAAACATTCGAGTTTTTGGTGTGCCAAGCTTTCCATGAAAAGACAGTAGCAGCGTTACTTACCTTGAAAAAGAAACTACAAGCAAGCAACTGAGGCGCCTCCGGAACCAAGAAATTCACAATCAACCATGGCGATATGAGCCCAATGATAAGTAACAAATAATAAAAACAAAAATTAAATTAAAATTGTAATTGTTGTTGAATTAATGTAATAGAAATTGAAAGCAACATGCAAAAAATATAAAATTATTATCGATTAAAAGCTAGATTGAAATAATGAGTTTTTAAAATAGATTTAAAACCCCATAGGGAGGTTTTAAATTTATTTTAAAAACTCATTATTTCAATAAATAACCATAGGGAGGTTTAAATCTATTTTAAAAACTCATTACTTTAATAAATAACCATAGGGAGGTTTTATTTTAAAAACTCATTATTTCAATCTAGCTTTTAATCAATAATAATTTTATATTTTTTGCATGCTGCTTTCAATTTCTATTACATTAATTCAACAACAATTACAATTTTAATTTAATTTTTGTTTTTATTATTTGATTTTATTATTTATTATTTGAAAATTTTTAGAAATGTTTTTAGTAATGCCGGGCAATGGTACGGTGTAAATTTCTACATCGATATCACAGTCGTTCTGGCCACTGCCAAAGTTCAGCGTCTACAGCAACTTGCAAAGTTTGTTGTAGTATCCGGTGGTCATGAGAGAAATTCAGTTGCTAATGGCAGAAAAGATTGAAAACAAACAATGGCTTGTTTGTTGACAAAAGCTGAAAAGCGATCGGGATAAAGATTTGGATGTTTACGATAACAACAGAAAATTTCAAATGAATTTTAAGTTGTGAGCTTAAAAAAACATAAAAAATTGAAAAATAGCTGTTTTGATGCCAATAACTAAATTGATAAAAATAAATAATTAATTAAATAAATAATAATTACTGCCGTGACAGGTGGTACAGGTATCTTCATATGTGATATTTTATCTGAACCTAATGCACAGGCAAATCGCAGCATCTCATCAAACCAACTTATTGCTTTCAAACCACTTTGCTTGCCATGTCTGAAAAGTTGTTGAGTCGCATCCAATAACAGCATGTATTGTTAATGAAGCTTTAGCAACATGCTCACTATTATTTTTACAAACCTCACATATTGTAAAAAAGCATCTTACGTTGTGAAACTTCAGACAACACACACACACACAAAAATATATATTTTTATTTTGTGCCGTATAGAATTAAATTAATAAACTCAAGTTTGAAAATAACAACAGGACCTCGAGTATGGGATGAGTTGATTCCGTCGTAAATCAAGAAAATTATTTTGGTAAGTTCATTTAAGAGTAAGCTCAAAAAATATTTAATTTCGAAAAATACCTTTTTTATAATTTCTTATTTATATATATATCATACCCTAGCCGATGATGAAGTTTCCTTTTTGAATTTAGGTTTGAATATGCATTTTAGACACAAGTATAGCAATATACACAAGGAAGTAGAGCTGGAGATGCTATACAATCAACTTCAGAGATTGAAAAAGCAACGGATTATTGACTTTGAACATGGCTTACACAGTCAACTGCAGGCTTAATCTCATCGACATCGAAATGGATATCGCAAACCTGTTCTTTTGAGGGAATTACTCAACGCGGCTAAACGTCTCCGTTCCAACATTGAACTAACGATACGTAAATCAGATAAATCTAATATGTATGTGATACTAAATAAAACAGATTACCTTCAGCAAATCAATAATATCCTGGCTGACACTACTAAGTTTGAACGCATTACAAAAGATCCTACTAGCGATATAAAAACATCGGCCAATAAGTTGATTGCACAAGTTAATTTAGCTTCAACAATCAATAAACTTACGCCTATTGTAGGTGATTACGCACCTGGATATATTTATGGTAACGTGAAAACACACAAGTCTGAAGATGGACTTCCCGAAACAGCGCTGTTAACTTACCATGTCTATTGTTTTAAATAAATACGAGTTTAATAAATTCAGACTTGTTGAGTGTTCATTAAAGAAAGTCATTAATGCAAAATGTTTGTATATGTTCAATAATGTTTGTATATATATATATATATAAATATATAAATATATAAATATATATATATATATATATATAATATACACACAATATTCTACAAATTCTACCGAATGTTTGGCGTTAATACGTTTGTAGTTCGTTTTTTCGATTTTTCTCACTTAAGTTTTTTGGAGAACGTTTAGTTTATTAAAATTCTAAATAAACTTATTTTCCGAATTCATGCTGCAAATAAGGCCATATTTCGATTCCGAATGAATTATCATCAGTGCAAGTTGGTTTATATAGGGAAATATTCACTTTGTGAAAGTGAACTTAGATGGAAATTAGGTGTCAGATTTCTTTATTGGCTGGTCCATCTTCGTTGGTTTCCTTTTCTTCATCGATAGCATCATATTCTCTTTGTCATTATTTACAATGCTAGTTTTTATTACTTCTTTGTTTTCATTGTTGATTAAGTGCCGGGTTGGGAGTGAGGTTGTCATTTTTTGTTGTATATTTATTTTTGGTATATTGATGTCAATTAGGACTGCTTCTGCAATTTTAAGATGCGTGTAGTTGCTGTTCTGGTATATTACTTTGATGTTGCTGTCGAGGATTTCACGGCTTATAGTGATTGAGTGTGCTGAGTCCAAATAAGATTTGTATTTTTTCATCAAGTTCGAAAGCGGTTGACATGTGAATCTTATAATATATTACTGTTATTTTTGTTCCCTTGTTGGATAATGGAATTTTTATATCCATGATCCAGAAAATAGAACGCATTAAACAAAAAATCAGTAACAACAACAATGCAACCAACAATAGTAACAAAAATAACAATTTGAACACCGATGATGGTATAGGAATAACGAAAAAATCTTTTCAACTTTATCATGTATAAAATAAAAAAAAAATTTGGTTTTGAACTAAAGAAACTTGAAAATGATTTACGATCAACCGTTAGAAAAATCGAAAAGTTAAATTGGAAGTTAACTAACGCCGAACATGCTGTGATTTTCATCAATAATTGCATTTCTGACAGTCTCAATCCAATATTTAAAAAAACAATGAATCAACAAAGTAGAGTAGAGGCACAGTATATATATCTGTATATATATTTGAGCATCTGGGCACAAACACAACATCAACTTGAACACCGAAGATGGTATAGAAATACCGAAAAAAGCTTTTCTGTTCTATCATGTATAAAATAAACAAAATTTTGGTTCTGAACCAAAGAAACATGATACGATCAACCGATAGAAAAATCGAAAAGTTAAATTGCAAGTTAACTGACGCCGAACATGCTGCAATCATATATATACATATATATATAGTTGTATATTTTTTATAATTTACATTTCTTATTTCTCCATTTGTAATTGTTATTTACTATACATACACAGTAAATCACTCTTTCGCTTCACAAAATCAAGCTTGCAAAGCTGCTCTGACTTGGTGCATAATTTGCAAGAATCGGAGAAAAATGTCGTTGGTGAAAATTTTTTGCTAGATTGACACTAAATAACAGTTGAATCTCTTTTGTATATTTGCTTTTGTTAAAATAAACAAATATAAATGTTTCTGGATGAATGGGGTCCTATAGACAGCTAGAGTAGTAAGTGTTGGTATTTCTAGGGTTAAAAATGTCACAACATTGCAGGCATTTTTAAATTTTTCGTACGACGAATTTTTGTTCAATGCAAGTTTGTTCAGTTCATAAATAAAATTTTTATTGATTTTTGCATTTTCATTTAAATATATATCAATAACATATCAATAAATATCTTTTTTCGACAATCAATTGTCACCATCAGTGTTGAATACTGAGAACAAACACAAAACAAAGTTCATATTCGGCACTGATAATGACAAATGATTGTCGGAAAAAAGCCTTTCATGTCAGAATGTACATAAATATTTAAACGAAAATGCAAAAAATGAATAAAATCTGAACTGCTGTGTTTCAGGGGTGCCAATGATTGTGCCTGAAGGGTAACGTATCTAAAGCATGTACATAAGTTGTAAAACTTGGGCTTTGACGGCCGAAAACTTAATGAGGCTGGTGAGAAAAGAAATGCAGATGTTGAGAAGAATAATGAGAGTACGCCAAAATAAAAGAGAACTATACCAATGGAATAATTTCCTATTAGTGTCATTTTGGTAATTGCATTCGCTTAAGTGCAAATAAATTATTAAAAGCTAACTATATTTCAAAAATTAGTTATGTTTTTAATTTATCAATAGTAAAATATGTTATAATAAAATGACCAACTACAGAACATACATTTTTATATATTAATCTGATGAAATGCAAGTGACATGATAAATTTAGAATCACTTGACTGTTTTTTATGGTCATTAATAAATATTTTTGCTACATTCATTTAATTTTCAAAAGACAACTGCATTCCATGAAATTTGTCCCTTACTAATTTCAACTTTTAAAATGTTTATTCTCTTCAAACATATTATACATTCCTTCCCCTCTATCTCCTGTATCTGTATCTCTTGAAATGGAACCACAGTTGGAAGATGTTGTTTTGAAATTGACATCTGAATCCTCTTCTGTACGAATGCTCCCACTCTCGATTCACTATCTTGAATGCGATGTCCTGAATTTATTATACAAATTATAATCAATAATTTCATAAATATGTGCGATCCATATCCATGTTGCACATTCAACATGCGGATGCAAATGACCAGGCAGTCGGAGTCTAATACAAATTTTTCCAATTCCAACACTTTAATTGAAAATTTTTCGACTTAAAATTTTTGCAAAACGCGTTTGATAACATCAGTATTTTCAGTATTAAAGATGACTGTGCATCGCTACACACATATATTATTTAAAAACAAGGGCCAAACAAGAAAACTTTAGAAGACTTTCAAATTCTCAACACTTGTGATTTCGTAACATATAAAATATCTGACTCCGACACCGTAAATAACACCTACATGTGAGAGATAGTAAACGCAAACAGTCAGCATTACACACACCTTATCAACACACCACAACAACATAAACCACATCAACAGACATCACACATCACATCAACATACACCATACCAACATACATCACATTCATATACATCCCACTAACATACATGACATCAAATAGATGACATCAACATACACACCTCGTAAGGGGCACTGGCGTGAAAACGTAGAACGGCAAAATCTTTATCCTCTGTAGGAGTCTGCAGGCAGACAACAAAATATTTCAATCAGTGAAATGCTGAACATTTATAATGCAAGTTGACTGTGCAAGTTTAGAAATTTCTCTTTTATAAACTACAAAAAAATCTGCCCAAAAACACAATTGACATTGGAACAGATGAACGAATAGAAATATGTCAAAATTTTGAAATGAAATCAACATCAGCTCAGCAACGGAATATATAATCAATCGCTAGAATTCATTCAGTGCCATTTTAAGATACCCGGCATTTGATATTTAAACTTGAATAAAAATTGGACCACAGTAATTTAAAGGAAATAAATGTCTGGACGATAACGACGAATAGAATGGGCTTGTAATGTGAGATGTTGTCTTCTAATTTTTCAATTTCAATTCATTTCCATGGCATCAATCGATGGCATGTTATCAAATGAATAATGTTCAATCTACAATTTGCTCAAATGCCTGGACACGAGTTAATAACAAATTGAAAACTGGGTAAAGTGTATTCAAAATAAAATACGACCAGCAGACTACATAATAGTATTAATAAAAAGACACAGAAATGAATGACCTACCACTTTGTATTGAGGAGTTTTTGTTTTGTCGATCAAATCGGGATAGAAAATCTGTTGCATAGAGAAGAAAAGCAACAAATTAATTGGAATATATGAAGAATATTGTGAAGCAATATTTTGTTACGTAAATTGTTCAAAATAATTTATTAAAATAATAAAAACTGAATGATTTACAAAGAAAACGAATTAAGATTAAAATTAAATTAATATGTAAATTTCAAATGAATAAAATATGATAACTTGAAATTAACAGAATGGAATGAAAGAATGAGAGAAGAAAAGCAAACATTAAATTTGTATCCTTGAACAATTTTTGGAGGAGGATTGTCGATATCATAATGCGTCTGGTTGTATTTGTTCCACTCGAATCCCTGGAAAACAAATTTTAATATTATTGTTGTTCGAAGCAAAAACTTTTTAAGCCACAAAATAATAAAATAATAATATTAATTTTTAGATTGATGGCAATAGATAAAATAATAAAAAAAATAATAAAAAAAGTATTATTGATTTTTGTATACAATTTATTTAACTGAAGTAATAATTGAGCACAGCACGTAAAACAGTAAACACAGCATGTGTATATTAGTAGTTACTAACAGTATGAACTCTGTTGAAGAACCTGGGCTTCCTGGGTCGGTACTTATCGGACCAGACAGATGCCTCGGGCTTCAATGCTACCTCAACACTGAACTGAACCTCATCTTCATTCATTCCTGCTCTTGCCTGCTTCATCAGTTCCTCCTCTTCATCCCTCTGTCACAAAAATATAATATATATATATATATATATATATATATATATATATATATATATATATATATATATATATATATATATTGAAAATTGAAAAAACGAACTACAAACCTATTAACGCCAAACATTCGGTAGAATTTATAGAATATTGTAAAAATTATGGTCTACCACCAACATATATATATATATATATATATATATATATATATATATATATATATATATATATATATGCTACCAGTCATAAATAACTACTAGATATAATAAACAACTTTAAGCATTTGCATAAAATAAATAATTGAACAAATAGTTGTTCATGATATTTTTTGTGGCAAATCAGCGAGTTTACAGCGTTATACATAGAAACATGAAAGCAGAATAACGCAATGTAACATTAAAAAATGACAAACTTGAAATTTAAAATAAATTAAACAAAATCAGATCAAAGGACACATACAACGACAGCAGTGAAATTCATTGGAGGCTACCGTCTACGCCGCTTCAAAAATTAGAGCAAAAAACATCACTTTTGAAGTGATCAATAGACACATCATACTAATCACAACAATTGAATAAACTTTGAAAAAATTAAAAGTACACAGATACACAGATAACAAAAGTCAATCTGAAACAAATTATAACATAGAACTGCAATTAATTGTTAACAAGGATCATTTCCAACCTGCGCCTGCCCAGTGTTGATAACTAGCTGTCTTGCAAACTTCAACCTTTTGAGATCTTCTGATCGGTCAACGATCACAATGGCGGGTGGCACCTGGTCGAGTTGAATTAAAGTTGGCGAGTAACGGCCCGATGAATATTCTCTCAGGCATATTTCTTCTTCATCTAGCAATTCATCTTCATTTCCATCATCCTCATTCTCGTCATCGACGTTTGCAGAATTTTCTTCAAACTTGCCGGCTTCTGTATCTTTGTCCCTGAATAATTTTTGAAACAAAATTTTAAAACAATTCAATCGTAACTGAGCTACTTAATATCTTCGAACAAAAACATAATAAAAATAAAATAAAACTAACAAATAAATCTATAAATAGTAAGACGAATGAAAAATAAAATAAGAAACTGACTGCTTGTTTTCTATTTCGTCCTTTGTTGGACTTGGTGCTTTGGAGATGGTGGCTGGATGACTGCTCCTCACAATTGGAAACAGTGGCTGTGTCTCTATGCATTGCTGCCAATGACACATTCGTGAAAATTCATCATTTATACGTATTACTATTAGTATTATTGAATTTATAATTCGTCAACAAAGCCAAGGATGTCCGGTATAAAACGGTCATTAGTTATTAATCAGCATTTTAATCGTTAGAGTGCTACCCGCTGCAAGAGTCACGTGTCAACGACTTTTATAATTTTCTTGTTCATTATTTGATATCGGCTTTCATACTAGATAAAAAGTGAGCTACCTACTTTTATTTCATCCTATTAGTAGAGCAAATCTACAATGTTTTTAAGGAAACTGCAGCAATGACAGGATTCAAATCTTCGTGGAATAGAAGACGATTCACGACATACATAACGAATGATCATATGGATGTGCGCACAGTGTGGAACTATGTGCCTGTGAAGCATGGAGTCTAAAGGCGCTGGCCTATGAAAACCGTTGGTTTTTGAAATGAAGAGATATATAAAGATTCTCCTCCATCAGATGGTAGCAACAGATCATAAACAAAGAAGGGAAGAAGAGAGTTACATACAACTCAAAAACTTCATCCAAATAATCATAGTATGAAAATTGAAATTGTTTGGCCACATCTGTAGAACGAAAAAAGGTAAACTGATGAAGACAGTCAAGTTGGGCAGAAAGAACAAAAATGGTCATCCAAGGAGAAATGTGTTAGACGACATTGTAGGATGGGACAGGACAATTGAGCTAGCTTGGTAAGAAAAGCAGAGGACAGAGATGTTTGGAAAAATATTGGACACCAACGGATATTCTCATGGATAAAGGAAAGAAGAAATTTTTTGAGTCATTCGTCTGCTGCAATCTTGATAAACACTGTGAATTTTATTCACTTGTGCAAAAAAGTCTGCAAAGCAGCAGAAAAAAGTTGCAGTAAATAAGTGTTGCCCGTTGTATGGCAGTGAAACATTAGAAATCGAACACAAATTTAGGAAAACTGGAAAGGATTGAATTGCAAACGATCAGATGATGCTTTGATCTCAAATTGTAAGCCGGTTTAAGAACAAAGTTTGTGTCCCTAAGAAATGAGTATATATATAGTTACAACAAGCAAGTTTTAATAGGAGGGAAACGATTTGGTCGCAAGATGAAAGAAAGCAAAAGTTTCAAATATTAACCAACAATATTTATCGTCATCACTGTTTGAATGTTTTTAATCAAATTGTAAGCAAGGAATCCTCTATAGGTTAGTCTCAATAATGTGGCAGAAAAACATAAGTAGTACCGAAATCCTCTTTGCATTAAATGCTAGGAACCAAACAAATACATAATTTAAAAAGAGTCAGAAGTGATTTATAAAGAGTCAGGAACGATTAATGCTGTTAGGCGGTAGTTTTTCAATAAGTGTTAAGTTAAAAACAACTGGTGATGAATTACTTGATATTTAATTGGATAAATAAATAATAATCGGATTTGTTACTTAGAAATAATTTGAAAATTAAGTAATTAATTAACTTAACGGATACAAACTGACTTCTTGTTTCAACTTGAACAACTTGTGCCTCAGCTGTTCCTGGTGCCTCTCCCTCAGCCTCTGCTTCGCCATGTGCGCCTTCAGCAGGTCCGATAAGCTCTCCCAGTAACCTGGTGCGAGGTGATGGAAAATAAACTTCATCAATCAATCTTCGTTTTGCGTCCAGAGACCCGGTTTCCCGAGGTAGGACGTTGTTTTCTTTGCCATCAACTTTTGCGCCAAATTAGACGATCAGTTGTATCCATTTCATTTAAATTTAGAGCTTTCATGTCCTGCTCGATTGTTTGCGACAAGGACTTCTTTGGACGGCCTTTGGGACGTGTGCCAGGTACTTCAACATCTGCAAGAGAAGTTATGGCACTGTTTCCACTTCGTTTGACATGACCAAACCACCGCAGACGTTGTTGCCGGCATTCGTCCTTTATATCATCTAAACCAGCACGACGCAGGATTTCGGGGGA